CACCCTCTCTGCAAAGAAATTCTTCCTAATATCCAACCTAAACCTCCCCTGGCACAGCTGAAGACCACAATCCCTCAGGCTGAGCCCAGAGAGCAGCCAGTGAGCACCAAACCCTCCCGTGAAGCCGCCGGTGCCTCTCAGCGAACGGCACTTGAGAGCCCGTTGGCATTTGAGAGCCCGAAACTCCCTGAGGACGTGTTTTTAGAGGTCACCAGTGAGACTCGTGGGTACAGGCAGAAGGCTGGCACAAGCTTTTGGGCAGATGAACAAGCAAACCTACCAAAAATAGGAATTCCATGGCACGGGCTGCTTCTTCGGGCACATCGGTGCATCCCTTCCCTTCTTCACCTTGTGCTTTTGTAAATTCATGTTATAAGAGCTGAAGAGACAGAAGGGAGAAAATGTGTAGAATAAAAAGCAAATTAGCAACACAAGAAGATAGCACTAACCATGAAAGTACATACTGAAGGTACAGAGCTTGAAAGGAAACATCCACTTACCCCTAGGGGAAAGTTAAGATTTTCAAGGGGCAGCTTTGTGTCACTTACTGTTTTTCATTGTCTTTCCGCCTCATGATGATCCCAGCTAGAATTCCAAGGGCTACTGGGGGAACTAACAAAGAAGGGGAAAAAAAAAACAACTGCCAACCCAAAATTTAATGTGTAATTTAAGTGAAATACTGCAGTTTGGGCAGCAAAATTTTCTGTGCTGGTGCTGTCTGTCAACCTCAGGGCTCCCTGTGAGCCAGATAATTGCAAAATCCTTCTCCTGCCTCTGAGCATGGAGCACAGGAGCCACTGCTGAGCCTGGTGTCCTGCTGAGCTTGTCCAGGGTGTGATCCTCATTTATTTAGGGTTTTTATAGCCAGCTTCCTGTTTCTTTTGTATTTTAAACATAACACTTTCAGTACTTGGTCTCTTTTCCATGCTTCACAAATCTCTCATGCTTCAAAGTCTGCCAAGGCCTTTTAAGGCAACTTTGTCAATTAAAGAGTGACAGGATGTGCAGGTTTTGGTTGGTTTCTTTGGCATCTTTCATTTCACCCTCAATTTATTTAATGTTTTATACTAAGACAGCTGATCCACCACCCAACAGCAGAGAAACCCCTAAATCCTTTCCAGGGACACTCAGGAGTGGGGGGAGTGAACCCAGTCAACCACTGACTCCAGGTATTTAACAGCAAATGACAGCTTTGGGTTAGGAGAATATATTTTCAATTTTAAGCTACTTACCAATGCAACTAGGGATGAGGATACTTGCTAGGGAAGAAAATTATGAAATGCATGTTAAAAAAACAAAGCCCCAAATGTGGTGCAGTTACAGCAATTAACAGGAGTTTTTAGTAACTGAGCTCTTACCCAGCCAGTAAGGATTCCCTTTGGAGGATTCAGTTTGGTTTGTCTCTGCTGCAGTGCTAACTGGGGAGAGACAAAGGAAAAGCACTCAAAGTGTTATTTTATATGCTCCTCTATTTATATATAATATATATGAGTTCAGTGAGACTAAACATGGCATGGGCAGGTGACTTGTGCATCCAAGGCTAGAACAGCAGGAGCTGTGCAAGAGTCACACAGGGAGCTCTTGGTGACACTCCAGTCCTTGGGGACAGTCTGCTGTCCCACTTGGCTTTATTTCCCAAGTGTTGTTGGACATGAGACACAAATCCCTTCACTCCCTCAGCTTTGCAGTTACTGGTGCACTTCACACGTTTTCAGTCAAAATTCTGCCTGTTCCTCTTGAAGGGAAAAACGTAAAAGCAGGTCCAGCTGTGCTCACAGTGCCCCTGGGCAGAGCCTGGCACCTTGCAGAGCACATCCCTGCTGCACACAGACCCTGCTCCCCTGGAGACAAACCCTATGGAATGTCTGTCCAGGATGGGGCCCTTCCCTTTGTGAGAGAAGGGAATTAGGAGTAATTATCTGCACAGGCAAGAACAAAGCACTGGAGAATGGGGTGATTGCCCAGCAGTGCTCACCCCTGCACTCGGGAGCAGCCCCATTCCAGACTCCAAGGACCCCGTTCTCTGTTGTACAACGGAGGGATTTGTTCCCCACGAGCTCCAGCCCAGGGTCACACGTGTAGGTGGTGACTGAGTCATACAGGAACTTCTCTGTGCTGTTGCCATCGTGCTGCCCATGGGCAATGGCTGGAGGAGGAGGACAAGAAATGGCTGTGGGAGGAAGAGAAAACAGTTCAGGAGGTGGCCCCTGGGATGCTCTTCTCCGTGATGGGAGAAATCTCCAGGCTGAGAGAGGTGAGGTTGTTCAGCCTGGAGAAGAGAAGGCTCTGGGAAGACCTTAGAGCCCCTTCCAGTGCTTAAAGGGGCTTCAAGATGCTGGAGAGGGACTTTGGACAAAGGCGTGGAGTGACTGGAGAAAGGGAAATGGCCTCAAGGTGAAGGAGGGAAGGTTTAGATTAGATACACAGAAGAAACTCTTCCCCGTGAGGGTGGGCAGGCCCTGGCACAGGGTGCCCAGAGAAGCTGTGGCTGCCCCATCCCTGGAAGTGTCCAAGGCCAGGTTGGACAGGGCTTGGAGCAACCTGGGATAGTGGAAGGTGTCCCTGCCCAGGGCAGATCTTGACTTAGTAAAATCAACAAATAATTCAGTATTCCTGAGTTGGAATATCTGGTATTTCCAGTCAAGCACTGGACAATTCACTTACCCTGACAAGCTGGAAGTTGGCTCCAGACAACTTCATTTCCCCATAGGGTACAAAAGATGGAAGCTGAGCCTCCCTCTAGGATGTACCTGCAGGGAGAAAAGGCACATCCCAAAGTTTGTTGTCACCGACCAAGAACGTGTCACCACAGAGCTGCCAAGGACTCCACATGGGCAGAGCCCCATGTCCCAGTTCACCCACCAGTGTCTCTGGCCAGGCAACTGGGATGCAGTGGGCAGCTGCTTCACACTCACCCACGGTCACAGGCCACAGTGGCTTTTGCACCGAGCAGATGATCATCTGTAATAACTTTGCCATGTTCTGGACTTGCTGGAATACCACAAGATTTCCCTGGAAAAGAGTGAGATTATCCTTAGGACACCACGAGGTTGGGGGTGACAGTGTGGCAACAGCAAACCAGGAGAGTGGTGGTATTTCACGTTAAATGCCATTAAAAAAGAGCAATTCTAAAATACAGACGTGGCACTAGGAACACAGCGTTGGAGAAAATAAAATTACATGGAGACACTCACTCCTACACAGCTCAGGGACTTCTGACCACTTTAAGTTGTCCAGACAGGTGCTGGTGGGGAGCTGGTCTGTGGTGTTCTCAAAGCCTGGGCGGCAAATGTACTTCACCGTGGTATTAACAGGATAAAAATTCTGTGCTTGATCTTCCTGTGATATTTTAGCAAATGGCACATATGGAGGGCTGGGACAGCTACCTGGCAACAGAGACAACCGGAATGTCAGTTACAAAGCAAAAACAACAATATTTTGCATTCTCAACTGTGTATAAACATAAAGCCGGGTGATAACAAACAAGCCTCACTAAAGGATATGGATAACACAAATAGTTTTAAGAAGGTGATGGGTAATTTGTGTAATGAAACCAGAAAGGCACCTACAAACAGATGGAGAGAGACTATTTATATGGAGTGACAGGGCAAGGGGAACAAGGCTTCACACTGAGAGAGGGCAGGGTTAGATTGGATATTAGGAGAAAGTTCTTTATATAGCGGTGGGGAGGCCCTGGCACACGTTGTCCAGAAAAGCTGTGGCTGCTCCAGCCCTGAAAGTGTCCAAGGCCAGGTTGGACAGGGCTTGGAGCAACCTGGGCTAGTGGAAGGTGTCCCTTCCACCAGGTGGACTGAGATGAGTTTTAAGGTCCCTTCCAACCCAGACCATTGTAGGATTCTATCAGAAGACGTTCTCAGATGACTACTTAATATAAAAAGTTTTAGATGTTAAAATTTGCTCTCTTTGAATCATTCCCAAGCTACTGATCTATTTTTATTAGCACACAAATGCCAGCACGTGGCTCCAACCCCAAAGTGGGGGCTAGGAAAAAAAAAGGGGCAGTAAGAGATCCTTGCCTAAGCCACTTCATCCTGATGGCCACTCCTGATGAGGAAACCCCTGAAACAGCGATTGCCAAAGCACTGAATGTTTCCACAAGCGTCTCCAGGCAGAGAAAGGGAAATACTTACGGCCACAGAACTCCGGGAGGTGGGACCACTGGGAGTTTGTGAGGCACTGGACGGCGTCGGAGAGGAAGGGGCGTTTGGTGTAACCTGTGACACAGACAAACCTCACCGTGGAGCCCTCACTGAAGCTCTGCTTGTCTTTCACGTCCTCTGTGGGCTCTGCGTGGCTGATATTGGGCAAGGGCCCACAGTCACCTGTGGCAAAATACACTGGGATTTAGTGGGGCTTCTGCTGCCTCTCTGTCTGTTCCCCGGGCAGGGCACACTCGGAGTGTGGGGGGGAGTGTGGCACACACACAGTGGGGCACACACAGTGGGGCACACACAGTGGGGCACACACAGTGGGGCAGCCTGTGGAGCAGAGCACGCCTGGAACATGTGAAGCACACGGTACACACACATGGAGCACATGCAAACAGAGCACAGGCACCCACACAGAGCTTAGGTGCACAGGGAGCACATACATGCACAGGGAGCACAGACATGCACAGGGAGCACATACATGCACAAGGAGCACATTCATGCACAGGGAGCACAAACATGGACAGGGAGCACATACAGGCACAGGGAGCACATACATGATGTGGAGCACACACATGCACAGGGAGCACACATATGCACAGGGGAGCATATACATGGACATGGAGCACATTCATGCACAGGGAGCACAAACATGCACAGGGAGCACAGACATGCATGTGGAGCACAAACATGCACGTGGAGCACACACATGGACATGGAGTACACATGGACATGGAGCACAGACATGCATATGGAGCACAAACATGAACATGGAGCACAAACATGCACAGGGAGCACAAACATGCACAGGGAGCACAGACATGCATGTGGAGCACAAACATGCACAGGGAGCACAGACATGCATGTGGAGCACAAACATGCACGTGGAGCACAAACATGCATGTGGAGCACAAAGATGAACATGGAGCACAAACATGCACAAGGAGCACATACATGCACAGGGAGCACAGACATCCACAAGGAGCACACACATGGACATGGATATGGAGCACACATGCCCATGGAGGGGGTGCACACATGCACACACATGGAGCACGCACACACATGGAGCACACACACACACAGAGCACACACATGGAGCACACACACACACAGAGTGCACGTACAGACAGAGCACATCCACTGACACAGAGCACACGCACAGAGCACACTGAGCACACACCTTCCCACAAGGAACACACGGAGCACACGGAACACATGGAGAGGGAGCACACACACACATCCAGGGCACACACAGCCCCAGGAGCACGTACACACGGGTAACATACACTGACAGGGATAACACACCCACAGGGGACACACCCACCCACAGGGAGCACACAAAACACATGTACATGGAGCACACGCACACACACCGAGGGCACACACCCGCGTGGAACACACACGCTCAGACACATCACACGCACCCACGGAGCACACGCACAAGGTGTCCGGGCTCACCGCACCCCCAGTCCCTCCCCGAGGGCTCACCCCACGCCGAGGGCAGCACCAGCAGCAGCACCAGCAGCAGCAGCAGCGCGGGCAGGAGCGAGCGGCAGCGGCCGGAGCCCATCGCGGGTCTCCCCGGCACTGCCCGCGGGGCGGGGAGCGATGGGCAGCGGGGCCACTCCCGCAGCACCCCCGCACCCCGCCCGGCCACCTCAGCTCCGGGAAATTCTCTGACGAAACCCGTGCCTGCGGTGGGCAGTGGGTGTGGAAGACGCGGTTCCCCCCCCGTGCCGGCTCCGCGGGGCACGCCTGGCATCCCGAGGAATGCAGCGGGGCTCTGCGGGCACCCGCTGCCTCAGCCTCTCCCTCGCATCGTTTCTCTGCACCTTCCAGTAAAGACAACCCTCCCTCCAGAGCTGTCAGCTCCCAAAGGAAAAGAAAAGACCCAAACCAAAAAGGGCAGCCTGGGGGGTCTTGCTGGTTCTGGCTGTGGACCCTGGGGCACACCCCAGAGTGTGTGTTTGGGGGGTGAAGAGTGCATTCGTCCCCCAGCACTGGCTCTGCTGCATGTGGGGACAAGAGGTGACTCTTCCTTGGTGCCACCTGCCCTCTCCAGCAGCACCTGGCTCAGCCCAGCACAGCTCAGGGGCACCAGACCCTGCCAGACCCCCAAACCACCTTCACCTGCCTGTCCCAAAGAACAAACCTCCATGGAAAGAGGCTTTTCTGTAAGAACAGAGAGACAAGGGCTCTCCTCCAGCTTGAGAGGTGCCCAGAAGAGAGCAGAGAATTTTAAATCAGCCCCACCTTGAAGCTGCTAATTGGGCTGCTTCTATTAACCCCTATGCATGGGTAGTGGGGATACCAGTGTTCCCACTGTAACTCTCCCAGTTAGACTAAAAACTCTTTGAAGGAGATGCTGTGCTGCCCAAAGAGGCTCAGGTGTGTCCTCAGGCCTCGTCAGGCACAGGAGCATTTTGCCTTGGCTCCATATGGGGAAAGTGGAGCTGTTCTGGGATCCCCACCCATGGGGCTCGAGGGAAAAGCCAGAGGAAAGGTTGTGGCTGTGTTTGCTGCCTCATCCCATTCTGCTGAGCAGTGCTCCCACACCGAGCAGAGGGCAGTCAGCAGCAAACCTGCACCTTCCTGTTTGCCTTTGCTGTGCAGGAAACAGTGATGTTTCCACTGAGAAGCTCAAACTTACCTGTTTTACTTTAGTTTTTTCTCTCCACTTTCCTTTCCTTTCCAATACAATTTAAGCTCCAAGCAGATGTAACGAAATCATTTGCAATGAGACCCAGGCAGCCTGGGTAAGGTCCTCCTTTGAAATACGTACTTGGGAGGGGGATGAAGAATTATATGGACATACCTTGGCCACATATTTTTACAGGTCACTGGTGGCTGCACAAAGCAAAAGGAAGCTGTTAGCCAGAAAAAAAAAAAAACCAACACTCTGAATTCTGGGCAGTGACTTCAGCATGGAACATGGAGATGTTGAAAAGTATTTGGCAAAGACTCCACATGGTGTTGAGTCTCCTCAGGGAGTGGTTCGGATCCACTTACACCGGGAGAACCGAGCGCTGCAGCTTCGGCTCAGTGAAATCCCCCTTGCTGACAGGCTGAACCCTTGAGCCAGGCTGTTTTCCTACCTGAGGCCTTGCAGGAGACATCTGTACCTGCCCCACCACCAGGCTCAGAGCAGTCTGCCCCTCTGCACCCACGTTTGCTGCCCCGTTTTGCCCCAGTAACCGGCCGAGCACCGGCACCTCCCGCACGGCAGCTGAGCCTGGTGATAGCAGGTCTGTGCCTGCCCTGCTGCAGCCACCGAGGGCCACCGGCTTTATCTGGCTCCCACATCCCCTCCCTGCAGAAATCGGACCAAGCAGATGGTGGTGGCAGAAGAAGAGCACGTCCAGAGGGCAGCCTGACCCGTGTTTGGTGCGGGGCTGCGGCAGCGGGAGGTGTCCGGCAAAACCGGCCAGCAAAAACAGAGGTTGAGCTGCTGGAGTTGCTCCAGGCTTTCCATGGAAACTCACCCTCGGCTCCCTCCTGCTTGCTCCCACTGGCAGCAGCCTGGGATATCGCCCTCAGCTCCCAAAACCTTCTGGGACTGATCCCTGGGCTGAGCCACAGCAGAGGGGCTACAGATCTCTATCCTAGGATGGCTAAATAGGATTAAGGCAGGTATCCATCACTCCAGCTTCCTTTTCCAGAGCACTTACCAGAAACACTCACATTCCCAAGCTTTACTGCATGGATTTGCTTGCTTTCTTTACTAATTTTTTAAAAAACACGTCTAACTTAGAAAATAAATGTTCAGAGTGCTGATAAAGGACTGACTGAACAGCAAATCTGAACATTGTCAGGATATTCCTAAAAGCTGATTCCTTCCTGAAAAGAGACTAAAACATGACAGGGGAACAGCAGGCAGTTGAACTCACAGACCATCCTTTATAAACAATTACCATTTATTACTAAATGTAGATAAAATCCCAGAAAGGCTTTAGTGTTTCTTACAGGACAAAGATGGGGTGAGCAGCCAACAGCGTGAATGTGACATTTCCAGTCTCTCTGTTGCAGTGTGACAACACTGGGCAGGATATTTAGCAGTTGTATTTCTGTGTCTGTGAGTAGTCAGGGTGCTCACAGCATTACTGAGCTGCCTTCCTCCCTTTGGAAAGCAGAAGTAGCTCCTTTATGTTATGAGATTAGGAGATGCCCAGCCCACTTGTGGCTTTATCTTCCTGTAGTAGAAATATAAACTTCAAAGAACTTAGGTCTGATACAAAAAAAAGAGCAGCTTTTGCTAAAGAAGGGCTTAAACTACTGAAGATATAAAGATCAACATTCAATGTAATGTCTAAAACTCTATGACTTCCTAAAAGAAATGAGCTCATAATTCTGCAAGTTTTGCTTTCAGTACAGCCCTGCTCGGGGCAGCTGCCATGGGCGTATCCACATCCAGGCTGTGCTACAGCCAGAAATTCCTGGGAAGCTGAGGGAGCAGCTCAGCTCCTCAGAGAGATTGGGTCTGTGTTTAGGGCGGTTGCTAGTGAGCAAAAAAACCTGCGGCTGTGGAAACACTCAGTCAGGGGGGTTGTGACGTAACTGAGCTCTGCAGAAGTCCTGCAGAACATCTTGGGGGGGGTGGGATTTCTGGGAAACTGCAGCCTGAAAAAGAAAAGGCTGGTCAGATCAGCAGGGAATCACAACGGGATTCAGGGGGTTGGAAGAAAACTGCTGAAAGGAAAACTCAGGTGGGAGAGGAAAATGTGGGGATCGACCAATGCTTGCAGAAGGGATTTTCAGTCAATTTCTGGGAACATTTAAAAACACCTCACCGGTAAAAAATTACATTTTACATGTGGGACAGACCTGATCCAGCTCAGTCTTTGTCTTAAAGCAAAGTGTAAGAGCCCTAACAGGTGCAACCACTGCACGGGGCAATTTTGGAGCAGAGCAGGTAAAGGGTTTTCCTGCTTTATCCTTCCAGTGCTGGTTTGTCCACCACAGGTGGGGTAACAGATTTTCTGGTTTTGACCAAAGAGACACGAATCAGGAGTGGGCAAACTCAGCTTGACCCTGACACCAGAGAAACACTCTTCACCCACCCTCTGGCCAGGTAGGGAGACCCTCCAGTGGGTGTTTTGGCTTCATTACTTACAATAACACTCTTACAGCTCCCCCCTTGTCCCACAGAGCCAAAGTTCACCCTTTTCATGGGTAAAATAATCCTTTGCAGCGGATGGGGAATGTGGTGTAGCAGCACTTCTGCCATGTCCAGCTTCTCCTGGCTGCCCACGACCTCTCTGTGTGGAACAAGGATGGCATCAGCACTTGGGAGCAAGGGCAGGAGCCCTGGCACTCCTAAGGTGGTGCAAAGTCATCTCTTGCTTTTCAAAATGGCCAAAAAAAAAAAAAAAGAGTTAAAAAAATATCTGGGATAACATGAGGGCAAGGAAACAATGATAAATTAAAATATATTTCACACCAAGCAAAGCTTTTTTAAGAATAGGAGGTCAGCACAGTCAAACTTGAGCTGTGAACCAGATGCCCAGCCAGCAAAAGATATAAATTATACAGGGGAAACTTATAGAACAAAAGAATATGACCAAAAAAAAAAAATCACTCACTTGCACAAAATGATGCAACTTTAGAGAGTTTTAAGTTCTGAAAGCAGCTGGATTTGGGGAGAATGCCAGAGATCCCCATGTGCTTCGGAGGACACACGGATCCTTTGCTGGTCCCAGGAGAAGAGTGTTTTGGGGATTTGTACAAAGGTAGGACAAACCTGAATGCTGAGGTAGCACAGCTCCTGGACACTGAAGGGAGACATGGGGAAAAATGGAAACTCCAGGTTTTGGGGCTGGGAGTAACCAGGGAGTCCCACTGAGGAATTTCCCCGATCTCCAAATGAGCTTCCAGGACTGACCTGGTGTCTTGGAGACAGAACCAGAATGGGGGGAGGAGATGGTGTTTTGGAGTGACTTCTTATAGAGGCTGAGCTTCCTCTCCCATGATAAAGCCTTCTTAGAGGGTTGGATGCCATTTCCCTGGGGACCTGAAAGAATAAAATCCACGGTGTGGAGTTCCTTGAATGGCCTTTTGACAGAAATGTGATAAAGGAGCAAATTAAATGGGTCTGGGTTCAGTGCTGAATCATTTCAACTCACTCTGGGGAGGGACACTCCTTTCCAGGTTTTTTACTCCAAGTTTGACAGCTGAGCTTTTCTCTAGGGGACAAAGAGTGAGCATTGCAGGGAGCACTAGGTCTTGCTTGCACAGTTCTGTTCTTACTCCAGCACTGCATTTTTTCCTCTTTAAAATTGCCTTATTACTGACGTTTGACATGCCCTGTACCACACAATCACAATGTTTTGAGCCGATTCGTCCTAAATACCGAACTCATAATAAATTCTAAATAGTAATAAAGAGAAAATTGGGATGAATCCACCTTTGCACTTGGGCACAGCTCCGCTCCAGACTCCGTTGGTTTTGTCCGTGCTCGTGCAGCGGATGCTCGCATTCCCGAGGAGCTGGAATCCAGGGGCACAGCTGTATGTCACCGTTGAGTTATAAGCAAAATTTTCCACACCTTCACCATCATGCCTCCCATTGCTGATTGGAGGAGGTGAAGAGCAGGTAATCACTGCAGGAAAGAGGACGACACGAGTGTTTGTCAAAAGCTTCGGTAATAAGGAAAATACAAAATGTTCCTTGAGTCCACCTAAGATTCTTGAAGGCAATAAACATTCTGGACAACTGAAGGTGGGTAACCAGCACTGCTGTAACTAGATGGGCAACTAGCACTGCTGCCTGTCCCAATTTTCTCTCTTTTTTTAGTGTTTCTCTTGTCACATCTTTCTCCCTCTCGATACAAGGGTCACAAAAAATAAGCAGGACGTGCCCTAGCTCAGGATTCCTGGAAATCTCACCCCGCCACCTTCACTGCAACTTTTAAGTCATGAGAAAACATGTTGTTCTTGTGGGAGCAAAACTGCTGAAATAGTGCCAGCTGCAGTTTTGGGGACGGGTGGGCCACAGAATATCAACAAAAACATGGCACAAAGAGATCTTTGGACTAGACATTGGGGTGCAGGATCTAGTGGAGTGAAGTCAAAAGTAAGGTTTAATCTTACAGTTAAGGATGAATCTTACATTCACAGGTTGGAAGTTGACTCCACTCAACGTCGTTTCCTTTAAGCTGGCACCAGACGAAATTATTTCCAATTAATTTGTACCTAAGTGAAGATACACACAGAAAAAAACGGTGTAACTATCCAGAAACTGAGAATACTGCCCCCCTTCCCCATATGTGCATGATCAGGAATGTAGAAAAGGCAGTTTTAAAGCAAGCAGAGGTGCAGACCCACGCTGGTTAACAGGAGAGCTCCTCGCCTTGCTCTGCCAGAATGTGTGTTCATCTATTTTTAGGTGGTTTTCTGACTCACTGAGTGCATCTTCCACGGCAGGGCTGGGAAAAGTCGGGGCTGGCGGCTGGCAGAGCACGCAGGGAATGCCAGACAGCACCGAGGTTAAATGTGGGTTCCCACACGGGTGCATCGGGCTCGGGTTTGCTGAATCAGGGACTCTTTCTCCCTGCCTGCTTCCCGCTGGAGAACAGCGCTGGGATCCAGGCTGCCGGCAGCCAGAGCCCTTCCCACGCTGCTGTGTCCCAGCGGGATGGGGTGAGGAGGGGGGAGCTCCCTGCTGAGCACACTCAGCAGCTCCAAAGGCTGGGGCTCAGCCCAACTGCAGCTCCCTGGGGTCACTTATCTGGCCCTGCTGAAGCCCTCGGTGCTGGAGGGGCAGGGCAGGGTGCCCAGTGTCCCCCAGGGCCATCTCCTGCCCGGCACCTTGTTTGGGGTGTCAGGTGTTGGAGCTGCTTTGCTGAAGTTTTGCAAACAATCAAACAGCAGTGGGTGGCTGGTGCACCTTCTCAGCTGATCTGTGCCCAGAGAGTTGTGGACTGCCCATTCCTGGAAGTGCTCAAGGCCAGGTTGGACAGGGCTTGGAGCAACCTGGGCTAGTGGAAGGTGTCCCTGCCCGTGGCAGGGGGTGGAATGAGATGATCTTTAAGGTCCCTTCCAACCCAAACCAGCCTGTGATTCTGTGAATCAAATGCATCCACTGTGCACAGCAGGGACCACTGAGGGGCAACAGGGATCAATCTACATTTAATTAAGGTGGCTTTTGCAATGGCTTGCTAGAAGCTCATACATCTTGTGCTGACAGCTGACACCTTCCCCCATCTCTGAATTACATCCTCCTGTTCAGAAAACCTCATCATGTGGACATGCTGGGTGGTATCTGATCTTGCTTAGATGAACAGCATTATCCCTCCACCCTGGTGTGGATTTCCACAGATGAGCTGAACCCCAGAAGGGTGGGACATGCTGTCATTTTCTCCAAGTCCCGAGGGAGAGGAAAAAACCCCTCTGCTATATTTGAAGATGGGCATGACAAGCCAGATGATGCCAGCTAGTTCCTGTTGGGAGGGAGGAATACTGGCTGGAGTGGCAAGAGCTGGATTTTTCAGGTCAGTCCAGTGCTCATGGGCCCTGATTGAAAGCAGGCAGCAACCATGAGTCAGCTCCCTGAGTGATGGAATTTGTGCTTCACTGCAGCCTCCCAGCTGAGCATAACTGGATTTTAAAAGTTCCACCACAACCCCCCTTTTTTTTTTCAATACATCACAAATAACTTAAGCTGAAATGTTTTAAGTAGCTTGTTTTGGAGTCTGTATTTATAAACTGACATTACAAATGGCTCTGTTAGGTTGGACACCCTGCCCTGGGGCAGTTAAACTTCCTCTGGCTGGGCACTTGAAGGAAAAGGCAGCCACAAATCAGACCCTGGTCCCTTCCCTCCAGCTGTGTCTCATTCCAGAGCTGTATCCCAGCATCAGCACCGGTGTGGGCAGAGCCCCATCACTCACCCATCCTCACAGAACACGTCCACTCTGGCACCAAACTGCAGGTCTGTGAGGGGCACCATCCTCCCTCCAGGCAGCGCTGCCAGGGCACCACAGGACCTTCCTGGGGGGACAGACCAGGGCACAGGGTGATGGGCAAAGAAAAAAGGCTGGATCAGGGACAGGAAAAATATTGCTGTCACCTCGTCAGTCCTAATATTCCCTGGATTTCACCAAGAAACACACCTTGTTTTCATTTTGAAGTTCACTAGAACAGTGAGTTAGGCTTTGTCCTGTGCACGTGCCCAACTCAAACATCTTTGGGATCATAAATTCATTAAGGTTGGAAAAGACCTCTAAGATCATCAAGTCCAACCAAACATTTCCTAACGTGAAAATCAAACCATATCTGTTTATGCCAGCAGGAAAAAAAAAAAAAAAAGGAACATTACTGATACTTCTGCTGCTTCTGCTGTTCAGTTTTAAATAGGAATGTCAAGGAATATCCACCTCATTTTGTATTAATGGAGCTGTTGGGATGGGGATGACCTGGCTGCATTTTGGGATGCAGGTTGGGAGCGGACACTCAACCTGCTCTGAACTCCAAGGCTGCTTTTTGGGGAGCAGAGCAGAGCAGAGATACTCAAATACTCACTCCTGCACAGCTCAGCAGCTTCTGACCACGTCAGGTTCTCCAGGCAGGTGCTGGTGGGGGAGCTTTCCGAGGTGTTCTCGTAGCCAGGACGGCAGACGTAGGTCACGTTGGTGCCCACAGGGAAGAAGTTCATCACCTCATCCTCCTTGGACAGGGCAGCAAACCTCAACCTGGTTGGGGCAGTGCAGCTCCCTGGCAGCCAAGGAGAGCCAGCCTGAAAGAGCTGCCCACCAGGAGGGTGCCAAATAAACCTTGGGATCACAGGGGTGCCCTCGCTGGCCAAATAAACCTTGGGATCACAGGGGTGCCCTCGCTGCAGCGCTGCTGGAAAGCTCCTTGTGCTCACTGCAGGTTAATCCTGTTTCCTTGCCAGGCCTGCTAAGCTGTTAAATGCACCAAAGCGTGGGTGCAGAGGCATTAAGTGCTCAGGGGACAGTGTTAGTGGGACATCAGGAGCCTCAGGAATGTGCTGTGGGGCAGCACAAGAGCACCCAGCCCCCCTCCAACTGGCCCCTCTTCCAGAGCACCAGCCACCAGCACCCCAAGGAGCAGCAGAGAAGGGAAGAAGGTTTGTCCCTTGCCAGGGACAGCACAAGAGCAGCCCCTGGAAGGGGCAGGAATTTCAAGCCAAGCGAGAGAGACAGGAGCTGTGTTACAGAGGAAGGAGATATTTACGGCCACAGGGCTCGGGCAGCTTGGACCAGAGGTTGCCAGGCAGGCACTCCACCGTGTCTGGCAGCCCAGGGATTTTGAGGGCACCCTCGATGCACGTGTAGGTCACTCTGGATCCCACGGGGAAGCTGCTGGGGTGCTCGTTGCTGGATGGTCTGGAGTAGGTCATGGCAGGTGGGGGCCCACAGTCACCTGTGGCAGGATGAGACCTCCTGGGGTGAGAATTCCATTCCCTGGCCCCTTCCCCAGCCCCAGGGAGCATCCCAGGGGGATGGGATGGCCCAGGGTGCCCCTGTGGGCAAAGGCACCAGGCAGGGCTGTGAGAGCATCAAACACTGGGTCCTCAGCTTGGGGGTGGTGGCATCACCCACCCCAGCCCCTGAGCAGCAAGATGGGATCCAGGCAGGTTTCTCTGGTCCTCCCCATGCATCCCATGGCCCCATACTCACCACGAGCCACAGGCAAGCTGAGGAGCCCCAGCAAGGCCAGGAGCAGCCCCTGTGCCCTGGTGGGTGTCCCACAGCTCAGGGTGCCTGGGTGCCTGCCCAGCCCTGCTCCTCCAGACTTCATTGCAGCAATTCCTGAGCTCCTCCGTCGAGCACCGTTGGCTCCAGGGGCTGTTTCCAAAGCTGGGAGGAGGAGATGCACTGCAGCAGACTCCACCAAGCCTCAGGAGCAGTGGAAACCTTTCCAGAACACCCACAGAGGGAAACTCTCTGTCAGGGACACGGGGAGCAGCCAGGGTAGGGGACAGCTGTCATCCAGCAGGCTTGAGCCTCCTGGTTTTCCTGCTCCACCATGAGGGATGGGGGAATAACTCAACCCCTTTATTTGTCCTGAGACTGGCAGTGAGCACTGACTAGCACAGTTTTACCAAACCACATGCTCTGAGAGCAGAAGAGACACCTCCCAGCCCAAAGTTGTGTCCAGGGTAGGAAAATACCTACTTATTCACTTGCTGGCAGGTAATGCAATACAAATCTCCCATGAGCAGAGTTAGTGAAGCAAATAAAAACATTTTCCTTTTTGTTTGCTATTTTTTGCTCCGTTGCCTGACTCATTTGCAATGAGGAACGGGTGTGAGCAACTGCATCTGTGTCCTGATTAACCCTCTGACAGATCCCATGTGACATCAGCCAGGAGGGCCCAAACAGACACACGCAGGATGTACCACCCAGTTTTTATTCACATTTATGGGTGTCAGGCCCTGCACAGGAAGACACCACAGTCCCACGTGAGCTCAGTGGGGAGGTGTCACACAGGGAGGGTGCAGCCCTGCTCGTCTCCTGGTCAGGGAGAGCTGGAGCAGGTCTGGGAGCTCCTCTCACTGCAGATCTCCTCACCTGGGCGTGGTGATGCATCCCCAAAGCATCTCTGTGTGCAAAGACGGGAGACACCATCTCTCCCCTTGGGTGTTTTGCTTTCATTTTAGTAACTTCTAGAGGTGTACATCTGGCAGTGATGCACTGCTGCAAATCACCTGTGCAGGAGGTAAATGCTCCTCCTTCTCCCACTGAGCCTGGGCTGATCCAGCTGCCAGGACTCAGGGCTGTGCTGAGCCCACTGTAGCTCCCCAAGCACCCCAGGACTGACCCAGGACCATTGGACCACGCTGGAAATCTGCCCAATTTACAGCCAACAC